CAATCCATTCTTTTCTGGTTTTATCATCCATGCTTCTTTGCTAAACTATTTCCACTGTCCTCAACTTAGTTTGATATTTCTAATCTACCCCATCCATGAAATAGAAGGCAATGGATGGAGACTAATCAAGGAGAGAAGCAACCTAGAACTAAGGAGAAATTTTCTGACAGTAAGAACAATAAACCAGTGAAAAGGCTTGCTTTTCACTGATTCAGTGAGTGACTCAGCTGACTCAGCCTTCCATCTTCTGATGTCGGTAAAATGAAGACCCAGATTGTTGGGGGCAATATGCTGACTCTTTAAACTGCTTAGAAAGAGCTGTAAAGCTCTGTAAAGTGGTATATAAGTCTAAGTGCTATTACTATTGCTTTCCAAAGTTGTGAGTGCTCCATCACTGGAGGCTTTTAAAAAGAGACTGGACAAGCATTGTGTCAGGTATGCCTCCTTTAAGTACTCAAGAAAGAAAAAACCCCGACTCCATTTTCATAGACAAAGGTACTTTTACTGAGTATGAACTGAATGCCCCTGTTTCAATGGCAGCCGTAGCAAGCAAGCAATATAAAAGCAGAGGCTGACACATTGTCTGAAATGGTATAGGGCAGGGGTTGGCAACCTCAAACACTCAAAGAGCCACAAGGGTCCTAACTGGAAGCCCTCCATTCAATTCTGGAGCCGACCAGAAATCCGGTTCCCCCACCACAGAGTCTCCTCCTAGCGTGGCGTCCTTTTTCCTCTACCTTTCCTAACCGAAAGCCCTATCAATTGCGGGGCCGACTGGAAAACCCGCCCCTTGCCATAAAGTTTCCTCCTGGCACACCGTGCTTTCCCCCCTCCCTTAACTGGAAACTCCTCTCAAAATTGTGCTGACTGGCAACAGGGAGCAGCAGCGGAGGAGTGAAAGAGCCACATGTGGCTCCAGAGCCACAGATTGCTGACCCCTGGTATAAGGGCTTCTGCTTGAGCATAGAGTTGGACGGAAGACCTCCAAGGTCCCTTCAAACTCTGTTATTCTGTTATTGTAAAAGCCACTGAGCAATGTGTCTGTTTCAGCCCAATATGCTATGTCTATCTGTCTGTCTGTCTGTCTGTCTGTCTGTCTATCTGTCTGTCTGTCTGTCTATCAATCATCTCATTTGAATAGCAGCCTATCTCACATAGTGATTCTGGGCAGTGTACCTAATAATCCACTCCAAATATATAAAAACTATTCAAAAGCAAACCAATTTAAATTTAAAAGATAAAAACTTCTAAATATTCTAAATACTACTACCCTTAACACATCCAATTCTTACTCTGATATACATAACAAAGAGGTCTGCAGCATGTTTTTATAAACAACTTTTACTTTCTTTAGCAAACATACAATCCTCATAAAAGACCACATACTACAAACACTTTTTTTCAGCATTAACATTTCTTCAGCCATTCCCACCTCTTTACTAAAGTGAACTAGGCAAGGCCATCTAACCTTTGATCTTTCCCCTTTTTCCCTATAAAAGCTAATTTCCTTGTTACTTTAATTAAAACATTAATTTTCATATCCATGCTCCTGATTTGAGTTCTCAGCCAACAATACTGCATCATCTGTGTACAAACGTGTAGACACAACTCATGTCCACAACCAACTTATCTCTGACATTACAAGAAGCATTTCTTATTCTTTTATCAATAAATATAATAAACAGCCAATGAGATATTCACACATACTTCTTTTCCTCCTATACTGCAATCAATCATTTCCTGGGCATTCTATTTAATCTCTCACATTCTTTACTTCCATCTACACTAATCTCAGTACCTTCAGAACCCTTATTCCATACTAAGTCTATTCCCTTTATATATGGCCAAACAGACTGGGTCCAGCTAAGTAGAAGAATAAGACAAGGTTGCACGCTCTCACCTTATTTTATTCAGCCAAAATGCTGAATATACTGTAATTGAGTGAAGTAGACTTGGAAGAAGATGAGTGTTGTTTTAAAACTGGAGGAAGAAACATCAATAACTTCCACTAAGTTGTTCACATTGCTCTAGTAGCTGAAAATGCAAATGATTCTCAAGCTCCAGGAATGAAGTCAAGGGACACTGTGAAATACTAGGACTAAAATTAAACATAAAAAAGACCAGAGTAATGACAATAGGTACCACAATCAATTCTAGAATTGAGAATGAAGATATTGAAACGATGGATACCTTCTCCTTTATGGGTTCAATTATCAACAGCAAAGGAACAAGCAGTCAAGAAATACACCACAGATTAGCACTTGGTGGAGTAGGCAAGACCTTGGAAAACAAAGTTGGAGAACCCACTCAAGGTGTATTTTACTATGCTAAATAGATATTCCTCTTGAAAATATGGACATAAATGATGGATCCTTGCTCTATGGTACCCACTCTGAACCAGTGACGTCACACCATGGCGGAATTCACTAAAAATATCTAATTCTAACTCCAGGATACCAAAATAATGTCTACAGTCATATAGTATATACTGCACAAACAAATAAAACCATTTTTATGGGTCAGTGTGACTTGATTCTGCCAACATGCCACGATAGAACTTACTGTCCAATGATTATATAAAGTACTCATCCCGGTTTTAGCTCAAAGTGGTATGTTGTGTGAACCATACCAATTATCATGCAAAGTCCACTTGATAGTTGCAAATCAATCTCCATAAATAATTTATAATTGGAACATGGGACATTTTCATCAGGGCACCTCCCACATTCAAGTATTACTGACTAAGTAGCAAGTCACCAAGCAATATGTGAATCATTCTTCTAGCCACCAATGATAAGAAGAAAAACATCTCTGTCTTAGCTCTAGCTGTTATATAAATTATGGAAATCAGTATGTGGGAGTCAGGAATGCAGTGACTTGTTTTGAAAAGTGAAGCACAAATAATTCTAGGAATTTCACTTCCACCTAGTTTTATTTTTAAATAGCAAATTCTACAGTGCTGTTCAGTGGTGGGATGCTGCTGGTTTAACAACCAATTCGGTGATCGCGCGCTTCGCTGCGCACACATGCACAATCTTACAAATACTAACCTTCTGTGTTACCACTTGGGAGTAACACAGCTGAGGCATGGCAATACGCTCTGCCACGCCAATCAGCTGAGAAGATAAAGGTAAGCAAAGTGCAGGGGCAGGTGGGCAGGCCGATCTGATCATCGGAGAGAACTGGTTCACTCCCAGCTGATCATCGGCGCTACCGGTTCGCCGGTCCAAACCGATAGAATCCAGTAGTGGATTTCAAATTTTTTTACTACTGGTTCTGTGGGTGTGGCTTGGTGAGCATGGCATGGCTTGGTGGGCGTGGCTTGGTGGGCGTGGCAGGGGAAGGATACTGTAAAATTTCCATTCCCACCCCACTCCAGAGGAAGGATACTGTAAAATCTCCATTCCCTCCCCAATCCAGGGGAAGGTTACTACAAAATCCCCATTTCCTCCCAATCAGCTGGGACTCTGGGGGCAGGGCCAGTCAGAATTTTTACTACCGGTTCTCCAAACTACTCAAAATTTCTGCTACTGGTTCTCCAGAACTGGTCAGAACCTGCTGAAACCCACCTCTGATAGAATCCCACCCCTGGTGTTGTTAGAGTAAGACCTCTTTTTTCTCCCTTGTGTTGCAATAGAAAACTTCCTGGTATGGGTCTACATATGTCATCAGCCCATAGAGTTTTATTTATAATACAGTGACTCTCAGAAATCCAGAACAATTAGGACTGAAAACCTTGCTTAATTGTGCATTAACATCTCAGCAATACTTGGCAATGGAGAGGTTGACTAAAGACCAAACTAGTGAAGATGAAGTTAAGATGGTAAAGGTGTAAAGCTATGTTTCAGGGGTGAAATTCAGGAGGTTCTGACAGGTTCTGGAGAATCAGTAGTGGAAATTTTGAGTAGTTCGGAGAATCGGCAAATACCACCTCTGGCTGGCCCCAGAGTGGGATGGGAATGGAGATTTTGCAATATCCTTCCCCCAGGAGTGGGGAAGGAATGTGGATTTTGCAGTATCCTTCCCCTGGAGTGGTGTGGGAATGGAGATTTTGCAGTATCCTTCCCCTGCCATGCCCACCAAGCCACCCCCACAGAACCGGTAGTAAAAAAAAATGAATTTCACCACTGCTATGTTTCCATATTCAGTGATGATGATAAATCTAGACCTTGGCTGATCATGTTCAACCAGGTCTCATCCTTCAGGGTAGGAGGTCAGTGAAAAATAAAAAAGAATTATATAGAGTAGATAGATACTAGTAACATTTACCTAAGGATATTCTAAAGCACACTTTATGATGCCTTAGAAATTGTACTCTTCTTGGAAGATATTTCTGTTTCTTTCCTTAGTTTACTTAAGAAATCCTTTTGAATTCATCCTGGTCATCCTTTGTGAAGGGGGTTGCAGCTGATGTGATTGTTTAGCGTTACATTTTTTTTCACTCCAAAGCAACCTTGTCTGCCCATATTTCCAAATTTGAAAAGATCCCATGTGAGAACTTTATGCTGATGTCATTCCATGGAGAGATGTCTGTACAATGAAAGACAAGACAATTCACAAATCCTCTTGGCCAGTAGTGGGTTCCACTTACCTTTGCTACTGGTTCGGAATCAGGAGCGCACTCACATACAGCGCTTCTGTGCATGTGCAGAACCTCCGAGTGGGTGGGCGGAGCCACCACTACCGGATCGCCCAAACCGGGGTGAACCAGTAGAAACCCACCACTGCTCTTGGCTATCTCTTAACTAAACACAACTGCAAGGACTTTAGGTGGCATATAAGTGTAAAATAAAATTGATTCCCCAATGGCCAATTTGAAAATCAACTATTTTTATCACAGATCTCTCAGTTTCCGTTAACTTCATTCTGAATCTTGAGTCATTCATGAATAAGAAGAAATCAATATTTAAGGATGGATTAAGATAAGTAATGATGAACATATATGTGTAACATGTAAGGTAATGCATGTTTGGAGACTTATTTTACTCTTAAAGTGCTACCTGCTGCTACTGTATATAGTAGGAATCCTCACACACACAATGCCCAGTGTGGCTGCTTCCATTTTTGTATCTTGCGAGTACTGCAATATAAAATATGGAAAATATGTTTCTTTGAGACAGCTACAGTTATTGCTTTGTAAATGTGATTAATGTTGTTTACTTTTTTTTTCCAGAAAAGACTTTTGCTAAGTCATGATTCTTGTTTCCTATGCTAAAGATCTTTAATCACTACTAGCAAACTAGCCAATAAATCTGGAAGTTCTTCTCCTTGTAGCTACTTTGGAATTTATATATATATGTAGCAGTGGACTCCCCTTAATCATTTACAGTTATTACAGTCCTACTGATTGTATACCAGTTGTATTAGCAATCTTGTCATCTGCTTTGTTATGTTTTCCCATTTGCTTGAAATGAAATTTCACACTTTAGTCCTAAACGCACTTTTCTGGTTAGTAGTCGCCTTGAACACAGTACAACATAATTTTCCATATATTGCTTTATAAATTTAATTTTCCTACCTCGTTTTCATATGTTTTAGGCAAACAACCTAATCAACCAAGATATCTAACTGAGACTGGAGCCATAACTCAATAGTGGACAGGGCAAAAAGCTCAGAAGAGACCCTCCCTAGTTTCTCCAGATGTAAAGGAGATGTGGAGAGAATTCAGGCTTGCAAGATTGATGTCAGCCTTGCTAGGTAGACCAGACAGAAAACATGAACAGCTGAGCTAATGCTACTTTATGGTAAAACTAGATTAGGAATTAGTCTCTAATGATTAACATCTTGTCAATAAAGTCACTATTTGACCCAAGTGGTTTTATAACATCATTCTGCTACATATCCTAGTCCCAAAATCGTATCCTCTTGGCATCAGATCATTCTTCTGACATTTACATTGAACATAAATAAAATTACTTCTAAATCCAAATAGTCAAGCATACCTGAAGCTTCACTCTTAGGATATCTAGGAATTTAAAAGATCCTTCATATTTCCCAAACTTCTTTCTGAGAAAGGTTTTCAAGAACTTTTAAGAAGAGCAGAGCTAATAAATATGCAGTTCATCTCTTCTTCCCATATGTTGAAAACTCCTTTGTCTTGAGGTCTAGGAGAGTTGTAGCAGACCCCCAAGTAAAAAATCACTACTTCCTCTCTAAGAGATCCTACTGTGCCTGCTTCACAATGAGGTTAGTTCAAAGGTCAGGCATGTCAGGGGCTCAGGAAAATCAGCTTGGCTGCTTTGCTAAAGAAAAACTTCCCCTTCCCTTCTCATGGTTTATGCTCAAGGGGAGGCAGTTTCTAATCTTCCCAGCTAAATGGCATGCAGGTACGGTATATGTGTTTGCACCAATAAAAGTAGCTGCAGAATTACAGTTATTGTGTAATTATGCTAATCTTCAGCTTTATCTCCCCCACTAAGAGACTTTTTTTTGGAAGAGATTCAGCATGGTGGCATTTTTATTAGCATGTGGGCTACAAGCAGAGTTCTTAAGGATTGTCAATTATTTTGTTTGGAACAATATTCAAAGTGGTGTAAGAAATGAAAGAAGCAGGATAGCTTTGCTTGAGATGAGGCCAGACTAATCCCCTATTGAAATAATCACTGTTATTTTGTGCTGATTTGCTAAGGGGGGTGTAATCATTGTAATCCATATGGAATCCTGTCTGAAATCTCTTTTAATACCCTGATAAATTTCATCCCTAATGGGAAAAAATCTTCTGTTCTTCCACCCTAAATTCTGTGTAATTTCTATTTTAAATGTATTTTGGTGATGTTTTTCAATGTAAATTATTGTTGCAATGTAGAAGAGGAGGTTAAGGTTGATTTTATTACATTATGTTTTTAATATTTTAAATGTTTATGGCCACTATTCTCATATGCATGAGTCCAGGCAGCTGACAGTTAAAACCAGGTTAAAAACATAGTAAAACAATCAAAATTAAACACAACAGAAATAACATAATCCCATAACACATCTCTCTATCAATCTGCAGTCTCTCTCATCTGCAAAACCTTTAAAGGATCTCCCTCAAAATGTTTTCCTTGAGAAGCCAGGGAGGGTGCAGACCACTGAGGAGAGACAATGAAAGAACATATTTTCACATACCTAGTCCTATTTAACTCTGAATTTAAACATCTGAAGCTCTGAAGGGATGGGAGGGAGAATCTCATTCTTGATGTTCTCCATTCGGTTCACTTCAGATGGAAGTGTGAGAAGCCAGAAGGTTTATGGACGCATCAGAGAGGATATTCCCATTATGCCCTGGTCAGTAGTACTCAAGTAAGAAAGCCAATGAAATTTAAAAGTTATTGGAAATATGTGTATGCAATAGGAAAGAGGAAAACTGTATAGTGGTGTGGTGATTAGGGCCAGAAACTAGAAGACTATGAGTTCTAATGACCATGAGTCCTTAGGTGTAAAGCCAACAGGTGATCCCTCTCTGTCTAGCCTAGTAACAAGGTAATAGTAAGCCTCATATAAACATCTTACCAAGGAAACCTCGGGGACTGTTCCAGGTACTCATTAGATGTCAGCATTAACTGGAAGGCACAAAAAGAGACAGAGAAATAAGTCATTAAAACACACATATTTTGACCTGCATTCACAACACATACATGAAAAGGTTTACCAAGATTTTCTTCATTTCTGAAAAGGACTTCTCTCTCAACATATGGAATGAGAACTGGTCGGGGGAGGTCTGCAAGAAAATTTCATTGCCATGTCATGAAACATGCCTCTATTATGTGGAAATTGACATATTTATTTATTTATTTATTTATTTATTTATTTATTTATTTATTTATTTATTTATTTATCAAATTTCTATACTGCCCTACTCCCGGAGGACTCAGGGCGGTGAACAGCCAGGATAAAATACAGATAATACAAATATTAAAAGTCCCTTAAAATTATTAAATATTTTGGCTGAAACACAGATTAAAACGCCCAATAAACGCCCAATAAAATCAAACAAATTAAAAATCTTAAAGAGGAGAGTTAGGCCAGGCCAGCCTGCTGAAATAAAAAAGTTTTGAGAGCATGATGAAACGTCAGATGGTGGGTGCCCTCACAGAAAAGGCTCTCCCCCTGGGGGCTGCCAGTCGACACTGTTTGGCCGACGGCACCCTGAGGAGCCCCTCTCTATGGGAGCGTACTGGTCGGTGAGAGGCTATTGGTAGCAGAAGGCGGCCTCGTAAATACCCCGGTCCGATGCCATGGAGCACTCTAAAGGTGGTAACCAAAACCTTGAAGCGCACCCGGAAGACCACTGGGAGCCAGTGCAGCTCACGCAGGAGGGGGGTCACATGGGAGCGCCACGCCGCTCCCATAACCACCCACGCGGCCGCGTTCTGGACCAGCTGGAGCCTCCGGGTGCTCCTCAAGGGGAGCCCCATGTAGAGAGCATTGCAGTAGTCCAGGCGGGAAGTAACGAGAGCATGAGTATTTATCGAGTCCCGATCCAGATCCGATACAAAACTCTCTCAGATTTCACCACCTGGATTCCACCTGGATATGGAAACAGAAAACCATACCATGCAAATAGTGTGGGGTATAGTTATAAAAACAGATGCCATGGGAAAATAGGGGAAATATTTAGCCTTGCTTTTAATTATGTGCATTGAAGAATGCTTTATTGCTTTATTCAATTTGATGTTGTAATCTTGCTTCAATAACAATTGTACCAATAAAGTAACATTCAACATTGCAAGCATAGCAACAATTGATTCTTCCAAGCCTTCTGTCAATAAAACATTTTCACTCTATGTGATCTCATACAAAGAAGGGATAATTTAATAAAAGACTGAAATGCTGCTTAAGTCACTGGCCTGTTCCCAGCAACCTAAGCAACCAAGTAAACAAGGCAAAAGAAATTGTTTTCTATCTACAAAATAAAAACAGAGGTCATATTGTGATTTACCCTTCACCAGCCGATCATTCTTAAGACGTAGGATTTATTTTAGTTATTTCTCTATAATTTTTGACTATTTCTAAAGAATCCACCCTGATTATACTTGATTTTTTTTTATTATTTATTATCTGCCATTCAAATGAATTAATACCCAGGAAGGATTTTTTGGGGGCTCACTTGTGTAGGACATCTACTTTGAGGATCTGAAATATTACAGGAACTTCATAATCAATTGAACTGGCAGAGTTCCATACTACAACCTGGAGGGCTGCCCACTTGCCCATCTGTTGGCTGGGCTGGCCTGGAAGCAGCATGTCCCCTTCTTGCAGGCTGGATGTGGGACCCAAGGTGGAGCAGAGGTCGAGCAGGCAGCAGCCCAGAGCAGGGCCTGAAAGGCGGCCAAGCCTCACCATGTCCCCCCCCACCAAGAAGCCACCGCTCTGTGCTGGTGCAAGAAGCCTGCAGCCGCCACTCTCTGCAGGTGTGAGAAGCCTGCAGTCGCCACTCTTTGCCAATGCAAGAAGTCTGCAGCCATTGCTCTTTGCCAGCTTCAGAAGTCTGCAGCCATTGCTCTTTGCCAGCTTCAGAAGCCTGCAGCCGCCACTCTTTGCCAACGCAAGAAGCCTGCAGCTGTCGCTGCCGCCTCGGTTCTGGCTGAAAAAGAGGCAGCTGCTGCAGGCTTCTCGCGCTGAAAAAGACCAGCGGCTTCAGGCTTCTTGTGCCAAAAAAGAGGCGGCGGCTGCAGCAGGAGTGGGTTTCAAAACCCATTTGCTCAAGGGCATGCATGTGCTCACGTGCACGTGCAACATTTCTGTGCATGTGCAGAAGCTTCTGCACATGGGAAGAAGCATCCAGGTGGGAGTGGAGCCTCCTGCTGCCACCGCTACCGGTTTGCCTGATCCGGGGTGAACCAGTAGCAACCCACCACTGGACTGCAGGCCAGTGTCGCGGGATGGGGTCGTGTGCCCAGCTGCACCAACAAAGGCCAGAATTAGCAAGGAAAAAGTTTATTTGATAATACATGTAATAACAGCTGCAAGGATTGTCTATGCACAAAATTGGAAAGCAGAGAAAATACCTTTGGAAGAAGAAGTAATAAAAAAAAAATCTTAGACTGTGCAGAAATGAATAGATTAACTCTGATGATTAAAGATAGAGAAGACTCAGAATAT